GTCAGATTGGCTGCTGTGTAATAGAGCAAGTTTGCAGACATCTGTATAAAAAGAAAATGTTGAAATGCCAGGCAGACCGAGTTAATCTGCGTGCCGAAACGCGCTTTCGTCACGTTCTTCTCGATGCGGTCTGCAGGGCGAGAATGAGGCAGCCGTGTGAAAAGCGACTGGAAGTCTCAGGCGTGCCTCGAGAATTCTTCACCCTGGTACCGAGCGCCGCCACCTGGAAGGTGACGTCAAGGGCTGAGGAAGGAATGCGAGAATGAAGCATCAGAGAGCATGGCATGGCATGGAAGTGCATGAGGGAAGTAGGGAGGTTTGCATGCAGGGACGCACAGGTTGGATGGGGGGGGGGGGGGCAGACCGAAGCGAGAGTCGAATTGAGGATGAGCGTAGAGGTGAGGTGAGGAGAGGGGTGGGGGGAGGGGGGGGAGGGGGGGGAGGATGAGACAGGGGAAGACCGAGGAACCTACATTTTCCCTCCATCTGTTTGTGGGAGCCGGAAAGATCCAAGGATTTGCAGCGTAATCTGAACGGTGAAGGATCTGTTAATTGAGCCGTGTCGCTTCGAGATCTCATTGCAGTGCGGGTTTAGTGCAATAACAGATTAGAGGGCCCCCCCCCCCCCATCACCCCTTCACTGCCTCGGTCAAGCTCATTCCGGATTCAACAATGTGCTTTCTGACTGCGTTCGTTCTGATGGATAGAAATTGATCGCCTCTTCTTAACCTTTGCCGTCCGAATGACGGATCTATCCGCATCGCTCACCAGATATATAGATCATACAGATAAATATAATTTTACGGATAAATAGTAAAGATCGTACGGATAAATAGACGCAAAGAGATGAAACTTTAAACAAGCAGGTTTCTTTGCAATGAAATCCTCGATTTCGATGTCGACCAGGGGGAAAAAAAAAACCCCCTAAAATGTTTATCCTTATGCTAAAGGTTAAACTTGCGAATCTCATCGTAGTATCCATCATGCCGTCCATCGTCTCTTAACTGATAAAGAAGCGTACGCGTCTACGTGTTAGAAGGAATTCCATCAAGCAGACGGTGCAATTTCGATCCTTGAACACGTTTCGTTTCGAGAGGAGTCGGTGTCTTTCGCCGAAATCGACCAATTCATCCTTTTGCCAATAGCGATTTACTTTCCCCCCCCTACATTTTCGTATCACGGAGCTAACTGCATTTCGGCACTTGAGGATACTGGATCTGCCAAGATACATCTGGGTTTTTATGAATACGTCGATGCCTCGTGTATCAAGAAATACTCAGGAGTTTTTGTAGCATTTCAGCGTTCCTATATTATGATCTTTTCTCTGTATTTTAAGCGTGTAAAGGTTGCTCATTGCCCACCGGTACTTGAAGCCCGAAAAAAACTCTGGGAGTGCTAAAAGTCCGCAGACAACTTACATGAACATAAATTCGGGAGTTTTGGCCCCGTATTGTTTATACCCTGCTTTAATCATTCCGACGGCGTTTCGAATCGCCTTGCAACCGAGCGCTCTACGACACCGAAGGACATTGCAAAAAAATAAAACTTAAAAAAGAAAACCGCTTCGTCTGTCGAAATCGGTTGTGTAATTTTTATTTAAGGGAAAATGTGGAATTAGTAATCATGAATATTCTTCAGCACCTTCCGTACTTGCTTGGTCGTCGACATGGCCTTCGGATTATTTTCAGTACTCCAGTGAAATAACCGCCCAGGTCTGCCAGTACGAGACGAGTACTCCAGACCAGTGAACCAGTTTTTACTCCAAGGCAAGTACTCGCCATTTCGATTTTCTAGTGCCTTCGCGATCCCAGAAGCTTCCGAAATGCAGGCCCGTGTGCTAGGACAAGTTCGAGTCGTTTTCCTTAATTTGCTGCGAGTACTTTTTTTTTTAGCATTGTCAGTGCTTGCTTTGTACTTGCCATTCCCTGAAAAGACGTTGCGATGAAGAGACCATTAATCCAGCAGACTTTGCTCGATGGCAACCTGATGCTTTTTCGACCGCCAGTTATTTCAAGTACGGGGTGGGCCAAAAAATCGTCGGTTATCTTTAACGCTTCACAGCGTAGTTTCTCGGGAGTTTGAAAATATCGTAATAGCGCCTCTACATAGAAAATTTATCCAGCTTTCCACTGATGTCAAAATATTTCAGAGTTAATTCGTCATTCCCATGCAGTTACGCACAGCGTGACAGAGGCAGCACTTGAAAAGTGCACCTACCAGCAGTGGCTGCTCGTGATATTTAGCCCTATGGTTCCGTCTATGGAGAGGAGGTAGCCAGGGGAGGGCACTGCCTACCCCCTCCCCACAGATGAAGCACCAGCACTAAATATCACGAACCGCCACTGCCTACCAGTGTGCCCCATGAGATGTGCTCCAGGTGACTTCGCTTAAGGCGAGTGGTCGATCTCTTGCATGCAGTAGCTGCCGTTGCAGCACAAACTTTTCCAGCGCCACCTCATGCTCTTTTATCTAACTGCATGAAAGGTATGCCACGAATATTTATTCTGTTGACATCATTGGAAAGCTAACTGAATGTTCCATACGGAGGCGCTATTGCAATTTTGGCAAAAATCTTGGGAACAAGTGCTGTGGAGTGATTAAGATAACCTACGTTTTTTTTTCCCTTTGGTTCACAGTCTTGAACGTCCCAGATGGACATCCCCATCGGTTATCTTAATCAATTAGTAGCTTAGTTGCTCCGGAACCGAACTCCGTCAAAGCCTCGATTGTTGGCTAGAACGTAACAGTGCTTCACTCTCGAGGTACTTTTCAGAATTTGTCAGTACAGAGAGCTTCGTATCGCCTGTCGCCAAGAGGCACTCCCTCGCTTCGGCTCCGCAGAAAATCGTATAATATTCAACATATTATGCATGAAATGAAATTCCCTTTCTGTTCAGCGGTTTCAAGAGAAATAGGCGCATGCATTAGGAAACACAACCATTTGAAAGCGGTTAAATTGGATTTCTTCCTCTTCCTGCCATTGTGTTTCCCCGATGTAACACTGCCGACCCGCCTTATTCCAAGGAAATATATTGGAATCTTCTATCCGTTCGCATCGTTGTTGTCATGGTCTCCCGGCCACAGACATCTCGATGACACCCCTCAAGGAACTGCGTTCAATCCGCATCGTCGGGCCCTTAGTTATCGTCCCGAAAGAAGCTCTTCCTAGTCTTCGTGTCCGTGGCAATAGATCAGGCTCCAGAATTCGATAAGTATGGGGCCCGAGCTCATCCGGTCACATTCCTTCGTTTTGACCCTCGCAGCGAACTTGTTTTGAGACCTGAAGCCACGAAATTTATCGACGGATGGAGAGGGAAAGATACACATCGACGACTTTGGTCGTGCCATGAGGATTACTTCACGAAATGATTCCCATTACGTGAAGACCCGGTGGCATTAGCCTCCGGAACTCCCGCTCCTCGCCGTACCAATCCATTCTCGATCCTGACAGGAAAAGTCCTTCGGCAGCTCTCAGCCGAACCGTGGAGCTGCCGTTTCCCAGGAGTTCGGGGGTCGATTCGCTACTTGAAGACGTCGACGAGGCCGACCAGGGAGACTCGGCCAGGAGCAAAAGTATTTCACGAACTTCGACCCTTAGTCCCATTTGGTGTCAACCTACTGAGAAATACCTTTCGATCTGGATTGGGTTTTGGGCTAATTCTCAGAAATGCACTCAGCAACTTCTAAATTCGTAAAATGTCACTTCGTCAATGAAGTGACATTTTTCTCAACGATTAGCGCTGGTGCCTTTCTGTCTCCTCATGATGAGAAAATCCATGCAAGTTGTAGCACAAATAAATATTAGGCGCGATGCACGAATCAATCACAAGGCAAAACAATCAATTCGTTCCCTCCCAGTTTTCGTCCGACAATCTCAGTTCCATCTGGTATAGATGCAGACAGTACCAAATGGCCCTTTCGAACCGAACAGATGCGAATTTTCAACCTCGTCTCGTCGTGACTAGGAATGAAATTTTCCAGACAGTTTTGGCCCAAGGTTCTGATTTTTTTCGTCGAAATAGAAAAATTGCGAAAGTGACTTGTCCAAAGTAGTAGCACTACCTTCATTGATGTCCGCTTTTTCGTGCAAGTTCCTTCTCTCATATGTCCTGCTTTCGCAAGGAAACATCTGGTACTCCAATGCCACACGTTGACAGCTCTTCCTCCGAATAAGGGAAGAAAGGTGACGCATGGTCCAGCCTTCACCGTCTCCACCGACAGAATAATAATCACCTTCAGTAATCATTTATCTGAATTCAGAAATCTTCAGTGATCGAAGAAGCACGGTTGGATAGCAAAGTCAGTCAGCTCCCTGAGCGACCTCAATATCAGCCCCTTGCGTTCCTCTCCCCCAAGACGACCGAACACGTAAAAGTCCAATTTTTTTCCCCGAATGACGTTAAGCTTATAATGGGCTATCTGCATTACCGAGACACCAAATGGGATACAACCTAAATGAGAAATTTGAGAGCCTTTCTCCTGAGAAAGTCCTCGTTATTGAGCATCTCTCAACACAATGGACGTATTGTACCAGATGCGTTTACCTTTTGAAAGATGTAACTCATCTGATCTGGTAATGAACGTCCGTGAGAATGAGATTACCCCGATTCCCATCAAGCCAGTACAAGTTGAACCGAACTTCGTGCACGCAACGCACCCCCCTCTTTTAGGGGTCCTCCCCCCATTGCCCCGTCTCGCTTGCCTTCTTTCGTGTGACCTTCACAGTTTCACTTTGGAGTGGAGCTTGGAGTTTCCGTTAGTTACGTGCTAGAGGAAATGTTCAACCAAGTGAATGTACTGCTTCGACTCTCTCGTCCGTTCCTCACAGTCTGCGTATAACCACAGGGCAAAGCATATCCTTTCTTCGGTGGGATGGAATAATCGAAATGACTGTCCTCGCAAGAAAGGGATTCCTTCGGATGACAAATGGTCAGAGGAATTTCCCTTGTGAAAGGAGCGCACACCTGTTGTCTCCAAAATAAGAATTTATCTGAATTGGAGAAAGGTTCACAATGACAAGAGCAAAGATGTCACTTGGAGAATATATTTCTCTCTGTACAATCATGGTATCCATGAGACAAGCGTAAAAATCAGGCTGTTCACTTCTCCCCTCCCTGGGCAAGTTGGAGTTCAACAATGCATTTCACAAGCACATTCATGAAGCTCATTGAGGATATATCACCTGCCCTTTCATGTGACTTCACATTGACACAGCGATAATTTTCAAATTTCTCCCTCTGCATCCTTTGGCTGGGTTGGAAAGTCCTCATGAAATGGGCATATTGTAAGAAAAGTGAAATGCCAGTAATATACCTGATTTTAAATATTCAGATTAAGCTTAAAAAGAAATAATTATGTCCTGATAATAAAAGTAAGATATAAAAGCAAAGAAATAAAGAAATCTCATGCATACATTGCCACTGGTGTAGCAGATGTAGAACATTTATGGAAGTCAGTCTTGAGACAGCATATACTAAAGTGAAAGCCATTTTCTCAATAACTGATGACAAAGACTGCAAACAATTCAAAGAACTCAATTATGCCCAGGGAAGGGTACAACAAGCCCGAAAGCTTTCATTATCTTCATCTGCTGCGACCACAAGATAGCACCAAAGACAGAGAGAGAGAGGACTTGGTCACTGATTCCCATCCATTTCTCTCTTTATGCATTCAGCATCCATGAGCTTTGGCTTGAATGGCTGGGGACCCAGTGCGCCTCGTGCGAGCACAGGGCATTATCACATTGCTAGTAGTGGGCAGTCAAAGCCACAAATCCGATCGCAGGTCGTTCCCATAGCGATCATGTCATGAGTGACAGAAGCTTCTTCTTCACTTTTGTCTCTCGCATTGTGATCCCCGCTTTTGGGACCTCTTCCCCGGGCTTCTTGTGGCGCAGAATGAAATTCAGGTCATGATGAGTGTTGATTGCGTAGTATACGTTCGCATTGGAAGGGAACACCATCTCTGTAAGAGGGAAAAAAATTTTTAAGCATGATTTGCAAAGATAAATGCCACTGTAACATGAAGAATCAAATAGGACACAACCAGCAATCTAGCTTTTCATCTATCAAAAGGGAAAATGTTAATATAAGCTCTTCATCCAACCAACAACCAAGTCAAACCTCCATACCAACAAAGATCATTGACATAAAATCTCATATAGATCAAACATGACATGATACTTAGTATACTTCTACGCATGAAAAATGGGTCACTTCCTGGGAAAATGCTGCGATAAAAACTTTCATACATGGACACATCCTCCCGGCGTCTGCTTGAGAGCTCTTGGTACTACCATTCAGAATTCAATCCAGTACATCGTGCATCCTTCTTGATTGCATATACATTGTATATCCCTTTCACGCATGGTGTTCACTATAGTGGACGGCAAAATTTTTGGCGATGATGGTGTTTTAGCCATGGCACACATACCTCGAAACTTTTGGTGCATGCAGTCAACTTAAGGGCATATAATCTCTTCAGTGCTGTTTTCTAGCGGTGGAACATACTACGGCAGAGTACCTCCTTAAACGTTAAACCCAATAAGGCATATTTTTATTTTGCTCGAAAAATTCATAAGTGAAAGGGATATGGTCAACTCTCGTAAATTCGGACCTAAGGGAATCGGTGATTTTTCCCAGATTAAGGGCTCGTCCAGATTATCGAAAAACTGGCCGAGTGACAACTTCATTTTCTTTTTCTGTTGAGAAAAATTGCACTCCCAGTGTACTGCAAAAGCCCTCATTCATTCAGTCCCCCCCCTCCCCCCCCTGGCAAATAGGAGCCATTGACAGTGACAGTCGTATCGAAATAATCCTGAACTTGATTCTCAAAAACCTTCTCCCGTGTCAAATCGTGCCGAAAATGCTTGCGCATGAGAAAAGTGAGGTAAAAAAAAACCTAGTCGAAGGTCTAGTGGCATATATGGATGAAAATCTGACTGGGGAAGGAGATGAATGCAAGGAGGGAAAGGTCTCCCTGATGAGAGCAATCTCAACCAACTGATAGCAGGAAAGGTGGGAGATGGGAGATTAGTTTCTTTTTCCTGTCTCTTTCTGGGGTGAAGGAAGTGAAGACGTTGGAAAGGGACCGGGAATACTTTCTTTCTGCCGTATTCCATCTCTCCTGCTTGCAAGTTCGAATTAACGGTGGGAATGGCCCAGGGGACTAGAGAACTCGTCCGTATAAACGGGGTTACGGAATAACGGCGTTCGTATAAACGGAGAATTTTAATATCGTTTCTATGGGGTTTCTGAGGGGGCCATTCCTCTCGTTCGAATTATGGGGAGCGCTAAATTACTGACGTTCAGCGGCGGCTCGTGATATTTAGGTCTGGCGGTTCGTCCATGGTGAGGGGGTTGGCAGGGGAGGGCACTGCCTCTGCCCACTGCTCGAGCCGCCACTGCTGACGTTCGGATACACGAGAGTTGACCATGTTGGTGGGTTCTTTCAGAGAGCAAAGTGTCATGTTTGAGGAACTTCGTAGATTTGTCTAAGAGACCAAGAGTGAGGAACCCGAATGTGAAATTAGCATTTCGATCTTCCTCGTGAGACTGAATTGTTTTTTAGGCATCTCCTTTAAATTCCAGAATACCACTTTGAATACAATTTTTATAGCCCATCAACCTTGGCATCAGTCAATTCCTAGCAATTTCTTTAGATTCCTCAATAGCTTCATATTTTGCCAGTTGAGCATCTAACTCAACTCTAAAGCCCTCAAGCCTTTAGATTAAAAGACAAAAAATGCAGTTGAAGAGAAGATAAAGCCGAGGTCAAATGGACACTTGTGCGAATTGGTTATATTCAATTTTTTTTTTAGAACAGTATTTCAACAGCAGTAAGATCTTTTCATGAAAAATAAAACTTTGATGAAACCTGTCACAAAAAGTTCTTGCAGCTACTAGGTCAAAGTCACGATTACTGCAAGAGACCATAATGACATTGCAAATGCAACATGATTTGTACCAAAACTATAATGGCACCATGCTAGAAATAGTTCATAATTAATGGTTCATGACTATACAGACCATACTAATCAAGTGAATACCACTGGAGATGATAAGAGAGGGGCAGGGATGGTGATGTAGTGGGAAAATAGGTCAAAATGTGATACAAGAATCCCTAGCTTTGTCAACAACAGAAAATGTTATCCAACTTTCCCCACTTTACTCTCCCCTCCCCTCCTGACTTATCTCTTGTTTAGTCAACACTGCAGTCCTGAATGGGAAGAGCAAATGCAGTTTTTTAGTGATAGATTTACTGGGATGAGACTGGTCTCATGGCTCTACCTGAATTAGATGGGAACATTGTTCAAAGTGAATGCCTTCTATGAAACCACCCCCAAGTAAAAACTTAGTAAGTAGGTTATAACTCTCCTTCAATGGTAAATGCAACATCCAGTTGATTACATGTGACATCCATCAACTTCTATGAATCTCCTCTTTCGACCTTCAAAGTAGAGTCAAGCTATTGCTTCCACTTGGTTTGTCCATGGACATGGCATGGACATTCTCACCAGGCAACCATTATATTAAAATTTTATGAAACAGGAAATTTGCAAACAACTGTAACCTCAAATGGTATTATGCATTTCTGTCATGTAACTAATAACAACTAATTCATGATATTGATTTCAAGTATAAGTGAGGTATTGAGGGATTTACACATTCATAGGACAGTCACATGAAAATAAAAAAGACTATTTTGCCATTAGTGAATCACAAATGACAGAATTAGTATTTCTCTGGAATCTCTAATCACTTTAATCATGGATTCCATGATTAAATCATGGATTCCTTTAATCATGGATTCCAGTTCTGTAAAAAAAAAAAACTTGAATATTTCTGAGCATATGATGTTAATTAAGCTAATAGTTTAAATTTGTGAGAAAGAATTAGAATTTTAAATCTATACATCTGATTTGCCATATTTGAAAGCTTCTTTAGACTTGACCTAAAACATTGACTACAACCAACTAGCTTTGAAAGACAGTGACACCAATGCATTTTGCAAAATCTACCATCAGGTTTAATTAGGGATTAGTAGGTTCAACTTAGGCAAAAATGAGGAACATAGAATCCCAACACAAATTACCCAAAGTGCAATCAGGTATCAATTCCAATATGGAAAAGGATAACCATAGCATGCTAAAACAGCAAACCTTTTCAAGGTCTTGATGCATTCAGATCTTAACTTGAACATACCAGGTATTGACAATTTCATGCCCATCATATGCCAGAATTGTTTTTGAAAATTCAGTTTTTGTTTCTGCTTAAGTTCTCTACTTAAATGCAATTACCACTGATTGTACTTCCTCTTATGATACTTCTCACCCTGTGAGCAACCTGTGAGCATCATGTGTATCAGTAACATAGTTTCTCGATAACACATACAGGTGTGTTGTGCGTTCAAGAAGTTAATATCTGTCCATTAGTGTCACTTGTGATGAAGAAAATAAATTCCTTGGCATTTCTTGGTCTGAATTTCATGAGCAAAAGCATTGAACTGCATCCTGTACCTTCTCAGACTTTGTTGACAATGAAGACACCAAATTTCAGGATGTGGAGTTGGATCGAGTAGCAAGCTGAGAAAATACACAATACACTGACATACAAATTGTCTCACCTCCATGGGGTAAGATCTGAGCCAGGGTGTAGTCCTCAGGCTTCCCTTCAATCCCATGCTTCATCATGGCACTGCGGATAACTGATGGGGTACGGTCACTGTTGCTCAACATGATACTCTTATATAGATTCACACCTAAAAGCAGACAAGGAATGTTGATGAAGAGGCAATGAATACTGAGCAAAGATGTGAGAAGGTGAATCTGAGTTTTTGCCTCTCACCTTGTACTTCTGAAGAGTGACTCTCCAGTGAGACACGAATAATGTAAAACTCTGGGGTTCTGTAAGGACTAGACACACTTGAGGAAGGACTGGAAGTTGGTAGCTCCACACTTTGAGTGGAGTGAGAATTTGTGGCTCCACTGCCCATACTGGCATCCAATGAGGGCAAGGAACTGCTACTTGAAGATGTTGACATCTACAAGCACAGAAGGAAAAGTTATATCAGTCAGCATTCCTATGTATGGTAACTACCTCCACTATAGGTCATAAGGGGCTAATATGAGGTTCATGAGATGAGGCACATGATGGTGGGCAGCACAGATGGGAATGGGATTGAATTGCATTAAGGAAATCTGATACTGGAGTGGGCAGGTCCACAAGTATCACATATCCCCTAGTTGGTGAGAATGGCTTTTTATTTTCTAACCTAATCACACCTCATGCATTCCATCCTCTTGCAAAGATAAAGATACAGATCTTTCCTCAAACAATGAGAGTCCCCAATTATCTGAGCTTTTGAGGACATGACATCATTTTCAGTCCTCCTTATTAGATAAAATGGCTACTAAAGCAATGACTTCCAATGCACTTGAACGTTGATAAATTGGACCAGTAAACCCACCTTTCTTTCTAGAGAAGCAGTCTCATGTAGACTTGAATTGAGACTCTCTGAAGTGGCATCAAAGAACTGTGAGGATCCCCCAGAAGAATTGCTGGCCAGACTATCACTCTTCTGGTGGAACCTGAGAATCAATTTAAAGATCTATTGAATGTGAGGAAGTAGCACCAACCAATGGTAGAGATTTTCAGATTTTTATGTCACCAAATTCACAAAACACATTGCTTCTAAGGTGGGTGGTGTGATGAGATGGCTCCTGAATAGAAGTGGGTTGCACAGTGGATTAAAATTGGCTGTGAATGGCTTTGAAAATGTTGGCAACATAATTATAAAGAGACTGTTCCATGGAGTAGAGTGAATTTTATAAAAATTTGACAAAAAATTTGTAGCAGGAGTAATTGACTTGTGCCTCTACTAAATCCTACAAATGGATTGCAGCCACACTAGACATGACAAAAAGAAGAGAGAAACAAAACAAACTGATGAAAAGTGAAACGGCTTAGGGGTGCTGATTCATTTGCTGAGACTTCAATCACACAGGGTTGGAGGTCTTAAAACCAGAGGATATCTGGGAATTCACTAGGAGGGGTGATCTTAACCCTTAGAATCTCAAGGTGCCAATATATCAGCTCTTCATAATGGGATGAAATTCCACTTGGGAGAGAAAGGGTTAACAAATCACAGAGTATATGATATTATAGCAATGGTATCCATGCATGAACTTCAAAACTCAAAGCATTTTAATGTCATGTTGTCTGATACTGAAATCTTTGCAGTTACCATTTACCATTCTATTCAGCTGAAGATTGCTGAATTGCATAAAGTTTTACCTTTTCCCTTTACATTTTGAATTTCCTTACCTTTTTATCTTTACATACATCTGTCATGCTTCAATTATAAAAGCTCTAAATAAGACTGCAAAATCTTATCACTCTGGTACCAATTTCCAGACAAATGAAGCAATTGAATTTTTCAGTTCAGCCATAAATTTCATACTGCTTGTGCCTATAGTTTACCCAACTGAACCAAGCAGCTTAAACACTGTAAGACTCTCCAAGGGCTCTGACAGCTCACCAAACAGCTCTGTCCTCCTTCAATCAAAGATACATGTAAAGAAATGTAACCAGATTTTTGATGGGAACATCTGGAAATGTCAGAACAGGTGGAAAATGTTATATTCATAAATTTCCTCAGCATTTGAATCCATATGTTGAAAAAATTGTAACCCACTAGGAATGGAAAACAGCCTGGACATAGCATACCCTTTCTTGTGATGTCCACTTCCACACCTGCTCCCAACAGCACTTCCACCACCAGGTGTTGAGCCTTGAGGTTCAATCAAGCATGAAAGCTCAAAGCTTTCTTTGTCATCCAAAACAATGCATGACTCAAACCACCTCTGGAATTTCGAATCTGGTTCAATGTGGTATGCTCCTGCTGCCCCTTGGAGGAGTTTGATCTGCAAAGAAGTGAGAAAAAATTAGCCAACCTCATATAAGGTAGTTTGCACCCTTATACAATATGTGAAACTCACTTGTGCGAGGATCTCAAATTCTTTTCTCCTCTTGTCAAAATTGATCAGCCCATCTGCTATTGTGTCAGGAATAGCAGTATCAATCATCATCAGATCTGTGAGGAATGTCCCCAGGTATGGAATCGTCCCATAGTGCACAGACTGTAAGGATATGATCACATCATTCAACAGCTAAAGAATTACTTCTGCATGAGTAAATCATTTTCAAATGGAGTGATACCAGCAAGGAAATAACTGAAAGTGTAATTCAGCTCAGTATTGAATTCTGCAAGGAAACTTGTCTGATGCATCAACCAACAGAATTTACTGAAGATGAATTTTTGTATAGAGAAGAAACAAATTGGCAGTGGCTGCTCATGATATTTAGCGCTAGTGGTTCATCTATGGAGAGGGGGTAGGCAGGGGAGGGCACTGCCTGCACTGCAAATTGGCAAGATATCAACACCAGCATGTCCCTTGTCCATTTGTTGTGTTTACAGTTGCAGGGGAAATCTTTACAATCCCCAAATAGGGATATAGATAATGCACAGCAAATGAGGATGTCTCTTGAATGAATAAAGCTGATTTTTTAAAATGACTTTGCAAAGTAACAGCAAGGAATATGTGAACATTTCCTTATGAAAATTTTATCAGTGGATGGAAATGGATGATAATACAATCAACTCATGAAAAATGGAGAGTATTACCATAAGCATACTTACACAAGAGGCAGCATTGTGTCGCTGGAGGAGCTTTGGCAGCTGTTTATCTGAATGACTAGTGACCTCAGCTACCTTAGCTGTACCTTCTCGCTGAAGCAGTTCCCTTTGAGCCAGTCGATTGTTGTCTTCACTGAAGAGCCGAGCCAGTTCTTCAAACAGTTCACCCTAGGAAATGTGAATACCACACCATTACATTGTAAGGTCAATGTGACATTGTGGGATGTTCGCTGCAGAAGGTCATGCTAATGAGACTGTGGTTTTCCATGGCCGTTAGCTCACCCACAACCATGCTGTGTCATTATGTGACATAGCAGCACTCCATCTCATCCTCATTAGCTTTTATTTTTTTTTGCGTCAAGCCTGTCAAGCATCACACCTAATGACTTCAACTCTCCTGGGGGGGATACCATAAGAGCATACTTCAGCATTGGAAAAGGTCATGTTTACAAACAATACATGCCAACAGCAATCCTTGAAAACTCTTCTGGTCAAGTTTTCAGGATATTTAAAAACCCTTTTGCTCCACATTTAGCCAAGGAAAATATTTTGTTTTCCTCTAAGAGGAATGAGATGCCATCACAAAATATTTATGACTGACAGAACATTTGGAAAGGAACTGGCTCATATGAAATTTTTATGCTTCTTTTCAGAAAATATTGGAATTTCAACCCCCACTGGGACAGTGTGGGAATTAGGAAACTGATCACTTTAGTCAGCCATGTTGCATCTGATTTCTGTAATTATGAGAACTAGGTTGGAGGCAAGACAAATGATAATAAGACTTTGATGCTTTGATGCTCAAGGACAATGAATTCTGAAGGTAATTCTTCATGGTGGAGGCAATTTGTCATGCTCATTTCTAAGCTCTGTTTAAAGCTGAACCAGGAAGGCCTCACTAAAACCTATTCATGAGAGATTTCCAGAATGGTATTTTTTTATTATTGTCGATGCATGAGTTAGCAAGGAGAACTTCCTTCCTTCACTGAGAGAATATAAAAGCTATTCAGTTACTTTTCAGACTTCTCGGACAATGATCATGCAAAAGCATGACATTTTCTTTCATATTGTAATTCGTATGAACGCCATTCAAAAGGTCAGGAGCTAGAGGTCATGGCCAGCTTCCTACAATGCATAGGCATGCCAACAAAGGGAGGGGGGGTGTATGTGTGTGTGTAGAAGTGGCACTTGTCCCTACTCCAAAGGTTATCACCCCCCCTAAAAATGTTATTCCCTGCCCTCTTCTCTGTCTCCAACATATCGTAAATTCCCTTTTACGTTTTTGGAAAACAAAGCACCACGAGGAGAAAAAAAAAACCTGTAAAATTACCCATTACCAGATGAGCTTCAGCAGATTAAAACCCCCAACCTCCCCCAGGCCCTACCCCTACTTTAGTCACATCCCCCCACTTGTTTTGTTTTTCATCCAACACTAGTCAGTGAGAACATAGCGAATTAGGGAGGATACAGCAGGAGGTACAGTCGTACCATTCTGGTTCGTCCCCTCCTCATGCTTGGAAACTGGACGTACTTATGCTATCAAGAACAAGCCATTGGAGATGGAGAATCGAGTTCGTTCAACCATACTTAACGGAAAAAGTCAAATTCATCGTCTGATCTCTCAAGGAGAAAAAACAAATAAAGTTCCTTTCCGTGCCGAAGGCAATACAATAGGATGATCCACTGCACAAAAATCAACGCTCACGAAAGGAGGAAAGCCATACCTTTTCCCTGGGAAGAGACAGCCACACTTTCCTGAGCCTATAGATAGGTGTGGACTGAAGTCCTGATATGATTGCTTTCAGCGAGGAGAAATTTTTCAGCATTCGCAACTCCTGGAAAATAAAACCAAGGAAAGATGTTTAAAAAAAAAAATTTTTTTTAATAAATAAGCTTTTCTCAAATATGGAAGTTCATGCGTCACAGAAAATGTTACTTTACTGAACCCAACATTACATGGCTGTCCAAGTTAGTTTCATCTCGTCCACAATAAGTAATCTATCTACCCATGCAATCTAACAAGAAGCAAAATCTAAGGAAACAATCAGGACTCTCCTGCTTGGACTCTTTTTTTCATCTTTACAGATTTCAAGTGAACCACAAATAACAAATATAGTCATGCCCTTGAAATTTGCAAATTTGCAACTTGTGAGTTCGAGAACGCAAACAAACTGAGCCACTGATGATCCGCGGTCAGAAAAAAAATAAACATTTCGGAAACCTTTCAATTAATCATGACATGTGCAGGAATGGTTTTTAAGGCTCTAAGTGCGCATGAGAAGAGGTTGAGAGTGGATGGTTAAGATGACGCTCTTCGTCCACCTGAGCAATATCAATCCACTTGGCAATAATCTTGGCCCTTAGAGCAGGCTTCATATCCACTTCCATCAGGACGGTACTGAGAACCCGAAAGGAGACGGCGTTGAACTGTTCAACGGTGGCCGAGACGGAGGCAGTTGCCTGGTCTGGTCGGTCACGTCGACTCCATATCGCTCCCAAGCATTGATGCGGTCTCAGCTTTCGAAACAATTCCTGGAGGAGAAATGGGATATTAGTGGTGCATTCGTTCCGGGGTGAGAAGGGAGAGATAAACCATTGAACCCCCACCATATCCATGCGAGTGAGTTGCTCCGCGAAGTGCCGATTGGATATGTCCAACAACGAGGAGTAGGTAACGCTGGAGACAACTCCGTTCGGGACGGGAGAAGTGCAGCGGACTTCGTCATCCGACGACATTATCTGTTTCAGCAGTTGACAGGCTGTTGCGGAAGAAGAGGAAAGGCGTATTCGCTGCCAACACTTTCACGCGTACCGAGGTGGACGTCTGACGGAAGTGGAATGGGGGTAGGGACTCACTTTCGCCATTATGCTGTCGCATTCCGGAATCCAGGAGGCCTCGAACCCGAGACTCGAGATGGGGATCCGAGCAATGGGTCTGGAGGAAAGCCAACAATTGCATGAGACAGGGAAAGGACGGGGGTTGATTGAAGTCCTCAGGGTACATGTCCAGCCACACGGCCAGCGTCTGGCGGAGAGTTCGCTGATGCTGCTCCCTCAAGTTATCAACCATCCCCCCGCTTGTCGACTCGTCTCCCAACTCTTTGTACCTATTCGAAAAAAAAACAACAAATTTTTCCGTGCGTGTCTTTCATGCAATAAGAAAAAATGTACACGGGGGAGAAACTTCGCATGTGATCAAAATAAGCTAGCAGAGGTTTTAACTGATGCCAAAGGTATCTTGGCGCATCTCCCAGCGCTCACAGAACCATTCAGAATCCTTTCTTTCCCTGTTTCTCTTCCTCTTTGTAGAAGTCTGTTCCCGATTTACGGGGGTATAAATAGGGTTGCACACCCTAGGGGATTGACAAAAGAGACTCTGGCACTGGTTTCATCGCCAGAAACCATAATTATACAACCATCACGTAAAAAAGAAGTCATAGCAAACGAAACGGGAGAAGTGTGGCATATGGTTACTCAAGACCTTGAAATAGTAGCACGTTAAGGGCTCGTATTTCAGATGACAACCCTTTCGCATGCCTTCCCCTTACGATTTGCGCCTCTCGTATTGAGGTAGGTGGCAAAATTAGAATGTCACGGAAATCAGCGACATTCCATTATGCTCGAAAATAAACAAAGAAAATCTTTTGAGCCACTCATACGTGCCTACTATCACTGACGTCATCAGACACCGTCTGCCTTCCTATTTGGCAACAGCCATTCCCCAGAATCAGCAATTCAACACCGGTAAGAAAAATGATGGTTGAGAGTTTTTCAAACACGATATTGAGCAACATTTTCCCGTGTGACTACCGGGAACGATATACATTTTTTAATGCACTAACTGCATAAAATATAGAAAACCAATGACACTGTCTCTGAGATACGCATGTAAATACATCAGGGATTCCCAGGAACACCCCACATCCGGATCCTCATACACGAAACCAAGACCTCATTTATGCAGGGTCAAACATCACTCGACTTCCATTCCTTTCGCAACAATTCCCCGCTCCAAGGCGATCCATGCATAAGCAAAGCCTTTACCCGTCCCGCTCCCGTTCAGCCAGCCCGCTCCGATGGTCGTCCCCGGAACAAGTCACGCAATCCCATGAATTTCAGACTCTCGGCGGGCTCTGCAGCAGGAAATTTGAAGCACGCGCTCGGATCCAAGCAATACTATCAATGAATGAACCGATTCCTCTTACAAGGCAGCTTCTCTCTTCCTTATTACTCTCTCGAAGCGCAATCGAACGTGTTGTACGACGTGAATTCCAGCTCCAAGGTGTTCACGACCGCTTTACTTAAGTTTCACTTGAAACGACAGGGAATGAGAGACGGACCGATAGACCAAACGAGTTTTAATTTTAAATCTAAGAAACGCAGGTGCAGAGATGAGCTTGCATTTCGAATTTTCATGAGTATTTGTATTGCAATTCTGGGATGTAACATTTTCTCAAGAGTTCCGGTTAAAAGCAAAGCAAAGTTTTTTCATGATCAACTGAGAGTTGACGCTTACAGCCCACGACAGCTTGCAGTTTCATCACGGATACAAACATTCTGATAACGGCACGACATTTGCTATTAATATCTTACATGGAATCCAAACACTTCGATGGGAATTGGTTCGAGAAGGCCGAATTCCCGCGCCCTTCCACTAACGAGATCCCTTTTGTTCCAGAACGAAAAAAAAAAAAAAAAAACTGGATCAGATGAATTCCGGAGCAAACGATAGCACAGTTCATGCTGTTGGCCTCGGTGTCCGCGTCGCAGAGACGACACGAATAATCGCTTTAAAAAATCCTCCGAAAGTTAATCACGACAAACCGTCGCAGGACCGTTTCCGGCAATTCTAATTACAAAAATGATCGAGGAGTCTCCAAATACTGCAACCGACCCCCTCAAGGTGCTCGTTCGTTGGCAACCACACACCCAAAAAAAAAAAAAGAAAGTCCCCAACGGAATATGATCGGCAGAGAGAACTTTCACCGATAGAAAGTCCATGGAAACTGGATCGTTCATCAACGCCAGTCCTCGATCATCAGACGTCCTCGAGAACCCTGCGACCGCGAAGGGCCGAAACGAACATCGAAGGCCGACCGCAGCGGGCTTCGTCCTCCCGCCATCAGCGTCGAACGGGCTTCGACGCATGAATGTAATTGAATCCATCCGGGTTGATTGGATTTATGCGCGTCTGTCGCTCGGTATGCGGCATTGGGGCTTAATAAA